GGATCACTAATTTAATACTCATTGAATTAGTACTGAATAGCTGCATGCTTTCGAGTAATCCCTGCCCGACATAACAGTCACAATAATTTTCATTGCGCTCATCACTGTCACATAAGATCGCGAGCTAGACTTCAATCCTAATCGTGTATTATTCAAAAATTTTGGTAAAAGGTGTTAGATTTTACTTGCTCTGTCAGTATCTGTTGTCTCTTAAAGCATTCATGAAATTGGTTATGAAACCAAAAATGATTGCTATAATCTTTATTTGAATTTTAGAATCGATATTGTCGCATGTTTTTTGTTCCAACTAAAACACTACTAGTTACGGCTTATCGTATAGTAGACACGTAATTGAAGTAAATTGAAGCTGAGGTTAACTCGTTCCGTTTGAAGTTGATTAGTAACATTTATATAGAGTCATAACTGCTCTGACTGTCACCTACCTCAACTCCACCATAATTACTGCGTTAAACGAGAGCAATTGAGCAGTTACGGTAGGACGAGAAATTGTGAACGAATCGAAACATCTTCAGTAGCTATGTCCGAGCTCAGAGCAGTTGAATTATCTACCACCATGAATACTAACGTGACATTCTTTGTTGACTGCAATGTGATATAGCACTCATTAAAGATGATCTTTTTTGCTGCTTCAGTTTTGCTCAAAACAAACATACTCTTCGTGTCGTCGATATCGTAATCAGTCGACGTGAAACTGAACAAGTTTGATGGAGCGATAAAATGTTGCAATAGGGTAGTTGATTAAGGAAATGCTTCGATACATCCATCGCACAGACTGTCACATTATGTGATGAACATGCATATTGTGGATTGATCGCACATGCTCATCTTCCATCAGCCAAGGCGTCGAAGACGGCATTTTCTTGTTTAGTTATTAGAAAATGGGGATTGAATCGTCATCACACTGATGCGATAGATAACGACATTGAATAGATTGCTCATTGTAAGACTGCATTCGTTTATGACTTTATGTTCGTGTGAATATTTTCATATATTAGTCGTAAAGGTCAGTGAAAGAATGGATACAATCGCATTTTATTGTCGTCACTATTTCCGTTCCATTTTAACTATCACAAATGACAGCAGTGCCAATATTCCACGCAAAATCCCCTGGCGTCTCATAATTCCCTCCTTTGTTTGTAGGCCTCCTTGTTGTTTTCAAACGTTTTGTGCGAAAAAGAGGTGATTGATTACGAAAATTTTCAACGAAATATAGTGATTAACCAGGAAAACACTGATTGAATCGTCGCCTCTTCAGCAGCAATGGCAATAGATTCATGAAATGTTTTCAAAACGATTTACGTTTAATCGAGCAATCTGAAAATCAACAGATTATTTTACTTCTCGTTTGATTGCTTTCATCATCGAATTCTTTTCTCCAAACGTTTCTCATGAGTGACGAAAAAATCTAATGAGAAAAGTCATGGCTCATTGAAGACGATCACTACCGACTGATTGCTGATTGGATTTTGATTGATTTGTTGTTGTTGTTTCGCTTGAGTTGTTGTTGTTGCTGTGCTTGTTGTTGATCAGTATGTGATCATCTTTATTTACCCATCTGCATGCGCACTTTTACAACCCTCTTCAAAACGACCTCTTTGGCTGCATACTGTATCGGCGGTAGTTTTGATGCATGCGACAATGCATTTTACGAGTTTATTACCGATCACACTAATCCTCTCAGGCAGACACCTTTGTTTTATTGTTTAGGAGTAGATGTTTTCAGTGATCTTAACTGCTTACACCGGTTCAGAGTCGAACAACACCGAACTGTGACAGTTTTCGCTTCACCCACAAAATACAAACTCACTCATATCTCCTACTATTGGGCTTAAGTTGAAAGCGATTCTGAATGGATTGTTTTAGATAAGCTTCTTTCCGTTTCCTCTCTCTGAATGAATTTTATTCCTTTGTTTTCGGAGTGAGACGTCAAGCGAGATTTACTTCAACAAGCATTTATTGAGAAAAACGTAAACTGTCGGATATTTGCTGAATGCTACGTAAATGTGACATTCTCAGGGGGCCGTTGACATTGCTTTTCAGCAGTTTCATTTTCTGTCAAAGTTCTGACGCAAGTTGCATTCGTATCGATGGCAAATTGGCTCGTTTGAATGGTTTTGTGATTCGATACATTCGGCTAGATCGTCGTGATGTTTACTCTTCTCATTGCTTGACTGCCACTTTCAATCACTTTTCTGATTGACTTTTGTGTAAAAACAAATCGTAGCATTTAATTGAAACTCTTTCTTTTCAATCTGCAATCAATCAATTTTATTTATTTATGCATCACATATCCACCATCAAACACTTCACACAAAAAGCGTCTATCGGTATGAATTGGACAATTTATTTCCGTTCGATGTAACTGAAAGACGTATAACAAATGAGCGATTGCTAAACGCTTTTGCATTCAAATGCGCGATATTTGATGAGTCAAGATGAATCGAATCGCTTTTTTGTTGTGAAATGCGAAAATTTGCAGATAATTCATACAGAAAGCCGTAACCTCATTCAAAAAGCGATTATTTTAGCAATGAAATTTTATTGGATGTTTTTTTGTATTGATGCTGAGCAATAACAGTTGAATTGTCTCATAAAAGTGAGATATTGATGACTTTCCGATAATTGCACACCTGTTTACATGGGATAGCATCAAAGAGATGGATGGATGCGTTAAGATTGTTATCATTTTATGCGCATACTCAAAGGAATAACGCAAACAATTACTGCGTTTAAGATGTGCGTGTGCTTATTTGTACGGCTGCTATTATAAGGAATTTGCCTTTGCTTATTAAGGTAGCAATCCGCAACTCTATCATGAGGTTGACTCGATAACGGGTGAAGCACTGTGCGGTGCCAGTTTGAGATTGCAGCACTAATACACTGCATAAAACAATGTTCATGCAATGATGATTTGAAAGCTTCATCCTACCGAAAACTGCAATTCAAAACTCTTCACTTGTTTGATTGTAAAACTGTTTGAGGTTGCTACCGCAAGCGGCAAGTGGAGCATTCCGCAGCGATGGAATAGCTTGCGGACTGTTACCGGGTCTAACACGTCGTCAGCGTACGGTTTGTTCACGTCACCCGAGTGCTGTGCGCTATGTGATTGACGGCCTGAATGCAGCTGCACACGAGTGTCAACTGCAATTCTCCGACCAACGATGGAATTGTTCCGCAACACACACCGGATTCGCTTTACCGCAACTGAAAAGTTCGTTTCCTATGGCAGCATTTCATTTCACATTTCTCATAAATACCATATAATACCAGCAGAAATGCTTTTAAGGATTGTGCTAGGCCAATTTCTTCATTTGCTAACCTGGAATTTTCATTCGTTTCAATTTTTAGTCTTGCATTTTTTGTGGTTATTGGAATTAGTGTGGACATAAATAATCCTTTAGCTGATAATAAATAGAGGTGTGTGAACCGGACTGATAGATTATTTGATTGCTAACACTGTCTTAAGAACGAATTTCGAAGAAATGAAAAACGATGGATGATGTCTGAATGAAACGTTTCCGTTGCATTTCAGTTGCGAGTCGAGAAACAGCGTTCGTGTTTGCGCTATCGTCTGGTGCAGTTAGTCATGCACTGGCTAGAGCATGCTCACGTGGTCATATAGCTGATTGTGGATGTGGTCCCATACCCACACAACAGCCCACGAAACAATTCATCTGGGCCGGATGTTCGGATAACGTTCGATTCGCGAACAGCTTCGGTCGTCGTTTCATGGATGCGGTCGACCTGCATCACAGTGACGATGCTAGGTGATCGATCTTACCGTACTGCTTCGTTTCGAATTCAATATCAATATGATCGCTGCTCGCTAGCAATTGATACAGTTCAATACATGCGATTGCTTTTTCCTCTAATACAACAACAAACGATTTCATCTCTAATGCAAATTGCCAATTATTTCGCTTCATCACCTGATTTCTTATTGTTCGATTGTCAATAAATCTTCGAAACGTTTCTGCTCCCCGTTCAGATCGTTGATGAATCTGCACAATAATCGAGCCGGTCGAAAACTGTTGGCGAATAATCTGAAACGTGAATGTAAATGTCACGGTGTGAGTGGATCGTGTGTGACGAGAACGTGCTGGAGAGCCGTACCGAAACTCGAACATTTTGCTACAATTCTAAAGAAGAAATATTTGCACGCTTCACAGGTACGTAGCCCAAATGCACGATTTCCTCGCGCAAAACCGAAAGGTGTGGATTAGCTCAAGCGCAATCAACTAACTCTCCACGACGATTGTCAAGAAATGATGCTTGCTTATCTCGAATCGTTTTTAATTTGAGAAAGTTCGTTGTGGCCAGCTGAAAAAGATTATCGTTTACGTTTGATCTTTGTGATCAATTTTTCGATCACCTTTTAGATCGAAGTGTTCAACGCTGTGAATTCTTCAGATGTGTAAGAATTGCTCCGAAGAAAGGCAAAATTCAAGTTTTGTTAACTAGCAAAGTAGCGGTGCAGCTATTTCGCTACTGGTGAAGAGCCAATCCGTTAGTTAGCGAAAGTTGACGAAAAGCGCGTTAATCACACCATCTTTGAATTTCTCAATCAATGAAACAATACTTTTAGGTAACAGTCGCTCCGGAGGGTAAATCGCTTGTTTTGCGTGTCGAAAAGAACGTCGGACGAACTGGACGTTATTTACGGAAACGAAGATCAGCAGCTCGAACCGAGCTTGTCTACTTGGATGAGTCACCGGATTACTGTAAAGAAGATCCCACAAATGAAGTGTTCAGCCCTCGTGGACGCGAATGTGGTTCCAAATGTCATACGTAAGCAACATTATATACCATACCCTAATCGCCTTTGTGCACACACAGCTATTCATATTATTTCATTTCATTTTAAAATGTTAAATTCATCAAAAGATGGCATCCAATGTTTCTGCCACATTAGTAAGTCACGTCACGTCGGTTGAGCTGAATTGAGCATTTGCTTCACGAATTTTGGAAGCAGCGTGACTGAGTCTAGGCTTGGAGAACACACTGTGAGTATATGAGTGCAAAGGACCGATGTGAACAAATGGATACGCAAATTAGATTGTTGAATGAAATTAACATTAGGGATGGTTTTTAGATTGTGTTGTGGTCGAGGATATGAAACAATACGTACGTTGGTGGATGAGCCGTGCAGATG